GACAGAGATCCCAGAATTTAATACCCAACTGTCCTAATTTTGTATTTTCAAAGACATGTTCTTTTAAGCCCTTAAAGAAACATAGTTTATCATTTATTTAGAAAATCTGATCCACATTCAAAAGGAAATTGTAACTTGTAAAGAGTTATGTGCATTTTATAAAATGATGCTTGCCGTTTCTTTCGGCGGGGAGGAACCCTGGTGGCACAGTGGTTAAGCGCTGGGCTGCTAATCTAAGGGTCGGCAGTTCAAACCTACCAGCTGCTCCACAGGAGAAAGATGTGGTGGTTTGCTTCTGTAAAGATTACAGCCTTGGAAACCCTATGGGGCAGTTCTGTTCATCCTATAGTGTCTCTGTGAGTCGGAGTTGACTCGATGGCAATGGTTTTGTTTTGGTCTGGTTTTTTTTTGACCAGTTCCACACTGGAATCAGTAACCCTGCTTTGCCGGAAGAGTTCTGAGATATTGACTGCAGGCAGGAATAAGTTGGGAGGGCAGTTGCCTTTTGAGGGTGCGCCTTTGGAGGATGACTTGGCCAGCATCTAGAACTCACCCTCACTTCACTATGGTGACCACTTAAAATGGCAACTAAGGCTCTTGGCTTTGGTGTTTGTTTTGCCTGGCAGAGAGTAGACTGGTCAGCAACGGTGCTCTTCGAGTTAACGAGTACCTCCAGGTGGAGGGCTACAGCAATATCTACGCCATTGGTGACTGTGCTGACGTGAAGGAACCCAAGATGGCCTACCATGCCGGCCTCCACGCCAACATTGTCACGACCAACATCGTCAACTCCATGAAACAGAGGCCCCTCAAGGCCTACAAGCCTGGTAAGGGAAGCCCATGTGCTTCATTGTGGCGAAGCCTTTCTGGACTTTGAGACGCCTGACCACTAGAACAAACTCTCAGAGCTGGTGACAGAAACACCCCTCTAGAGCTCTTTAAGAATAGGTCAGGGACTCACCTACCTTCCTGAAAGTCTTACACATTTCCTTGCCCTGAAACTGAAGGCCCTGGAAGGGTTTCGAGCTCTGGGAATTGTGGGCCCGTGAATGTCAAGCACGATTTTAGTTTGTGCCCATGTCTTTCCTCTCCACAGGTGCACTGACGTTCCTCCTGTCCATGGGAAGAAATGACGGCGTGGGCCAGATCAGTGGCTTCTATGTGGGTCGGCTCATGGTTCGGCTGGTCAAGAGCCGGGACCTGTTTGTCTCCACGAGCTGGAAAACCATGAAGCAGTCTCCACCCTGATGGGGAGGCCAGGTGAGGGGCCGAGGTTCACCGCGGACGGGTGAACGGACTTCTGGACAGACGGCACCAGTCTAACAAGTGCCAAAAGGCCGAGCTTTTTTGTAGAGTCCAGTGCAAACGATGTACTGACTAGAAACACAACTTGTGTAAAACCAAGTTCACAAACTGGGAGAGAGAGGGTAACTAAACAAAGATACCTGCAAGAGGATTCTTTCTGGGTTTGAAAGGTCTGCTTGCATCTGTGCTGGCTGAATGGTTCATGTGGTCTTGGGGAGGGCACAGCCAGCCTCCTCTACCCCAGGCTCCTCTTGGGTGTGTGTGTGGGAGGGAGGGAGGCTGGCATTCAATCTCTCAGAGTAGGGAAAGGAGAGAGCTAGCATCCCCTTGGGAAGGGCAGGAAGGACAGCCTACAGAGTGATACCAGCTGAGGCTTGGGAGCTGGGTGGAGAGTCGGCTTGTGCCCATACCTCTCCCATCACATTAGAGTGTGGGGGCGCATACCTCTTGCATCACCCAAGTGAAAAGGGCAGTTGTTAATAGGAACCTAATTATTTTTTAATTTGGTATTTATTTCTTGAACATCTCCTGTTCATTAACTGATTCAAAAAATTTATTAAGCACTTAGTATGTGCCAGTCACTGTGCCACATACCATACGTGGTTTCTACCCTGTGGAGCTTCCAGTTTAGGAAGCTATAAACATTCAATGAGATAGGAACTTGACACAAAGAACTCAATAAATGTTATTGCTTCTTTCTCCCTGAATCCAATTCAACAAATTACATACTGAGCTACCCCTGGGAACCAGAAATGATACAACTAGGGCTGATAAAAAAGATTTACAATTTACCTCAGGCTTTCTCAAGTATCCCTCTCTGAAGCCTCATAAAAAGCCTGGTAACACTGGCTCATTAGCTTACTGGACAGATGAGGAAACCAAGGCTCAGAGAGGATGATATGTCCAAGGCTCACAGCTCATGAACATCAGCGCTAGGATTCAAGCCCGCTGCTGAAATTGTATTGCTGCATCGTCACTACTTCTAAATCTTGAATAAGAAGCTCGATTTTAAACTGTCTCTAACATAGTCCCTACAGTCTTTTAATGAAACTTTCTATATTCTCATTTTTATATCCTGATTATATACCATAGGTTATATTTAAGAAGAAAGAGTTAGGCAAAAGTTCTTTCCTGGGTTCCTGGTTTAATCCATCCTAACAAAGAGTGAGTGTTTATGAAGCTAACAGCTAGAGACCAAAGCCCAGCCTGCCAGCCACTGGCAGTGTTTAAGGAAAGGCAGCTGACCTAAAGTGATCCTTTGGTGTGTGATCTGGGTAACAGGAAGCAGAGAAGTATTCAGCAGGTGACCCCTGCGTTTCCAGGCTGCAGACATAAGCATACCTATGAATGACAACACTCTAGCTGAATGCCAGGGGGCTGACAGGAACCTGGGCAGTTTTGTGTTTCTGGTTTCTTGGCCAGCCCCATGTCACTTACCTGGAGGCCCAGCCACTTGGAAATAATGCCTGCCACCAACTATCTTAAGGTATATAAATAACTTATATATTTGGGATGGAGTCCCTGGGTGGCACAAATGGTTAAGTGCTTACCTGCTCACCAAAAGGTTGGTGGTTCAAGTCCACCCAGAGGCACCTCAGAAGAAAGGCCTGGCAATCTACTACTGAAAAATCGGCCATTGAAAACCCTATGGAGCACAGTTCTACCCTGACACACATGGGGTCACCATGAGTCGGAATCCAATTGACGGCAACTGGTACTGGTATATTTGGGAGAGAATTTCCAATAGGAAGGACCCCATAGATTAAATCTCCGTAGCAGAAGGAGTTGATGAGTTCATCTGAATAAATTCAGGCCCTGCCCTTCCTGGTGCTGCTCCTTCCTGCCTACTTTTGATTGTGGCGGCTGGGTACTTGGCCCACCCAGGCAAGTAGCGGAGGCACTGTTGATGGGAGCTTCATCCAGGGCCTGTGGACAACCACTAGCAAGGCTCGCCATCCCAGCTCTTCCAAGAAACAGGCCATTATGGTGCTCTCTGACCTGGGGCCTAGTGTGGTGGGAGTCTCGCCCACTAGTGAGGCCTTGTCCATTTACTTATCACATTCTAGAAGGAGCCACCCAGGGGGACAAAATTCTCCAAGCTGAAGAAAATGTTGCAATAAAAGAATATATTGTAAGAAAGACATTGGATCTCGTTTTTTTTTTTTTTTTCTTTCATTTTCTTTAAAAAAAACAAAACAAAACAAAAACAGCCTGAAGCAAAACCTTTTTAGGAGTAGTTACAGTATTATTGGGGGTTGGGGTGGGGACATTGAAACAGAAAAGCACCAATGAAGTGTCTTTCCAATTTTCCCTCCATCAAGGAACACAGACAACAAACAAACCCCGAGTCACTCCTCCCGGGGTCAAAAAAAGGTGTGGGAACAGAAGATTTTAGGAATTTTGAAAGGATTTGTGTGTGTGTGTGTAAAAGTCAATGCTATAAATCTAAAACGAGGTCTGTTTTTTAAAAAAGTTCTAAAACAACAGGAAGAAAACACACGGAAAGAAAACCCTCCTGGAGACCTGGCTAATTACATACCGAGGCTCTTTTTACCAGAATATAAAATGCGAAGGCGCGTTGGCGGGGCGGCCGGGACGCCTCGCTCTGCGGCATCACCCTCCGCTCTGCTCGTGAAAAATCAACCCCGCTGTCATGGCTGAGTCCAGCCTCTTTCCGGTTCCTGTGGGCTCGCCGGCCGCGCGGCTACTTGGTGTCCAGCTTGGCCATCTCCTGCACGTAGATGCCGATGCTCTCGCTGTCGAAGAGCAGGAAGTAAACGTTCTTCAGCGAGGATGCGCTTGAGTCGTCGAAGTGGGCCGAGATGGCCTTGAGGGTGACCTGGGCCGCCGTCTGTTTGGGGAAGCAGTTCCTGTGCACAGGGAAAGAAAGCCGACGCCATTTTAATCCCTGGGCCCCATCGGGACAACTTGAGCCCGGAGGCGCAGTGCCTTCCTTTTTATTTTGACACTGGGCCCTTGTTTTTATTGTGAGATACCTCACTGTGAGCATACATGACCCTAGTCACAGTGACAGCCTGAGGGGACCGGCAGGGGGCCTTTTCCCCACTTTAGAGGTGCCTTTACTGACGATGATTTCAGTCAAAGCCAGCCGGTCAGCAGGGCAGTGGTGCCCTGGTCCTTGAGTCTGTCACTGAACTCAAGTCTAGTTGGCTTTTATAAACGTTAGTAATTCAGCATTGAAAATATGTGTTTGGCTGTCAACCAAAAAGTTCGAATGCACCAGCCGCTCCTTGGAAACCCTGTGGGACAGTTCTACTCTGCCCTATAGGGTCACTATGAGTCGGAATCGACTTGACTGCAGTGGGTTTGGTTATTTTTTTGTTTTAAAAAAGCAAATATAGGCTTTATTTGTTCCCTCAAAACTGGTTTACATGGTAGTCAGATCATAATTGAAGGGCCAGTACATATGCTACAAAGCTGTCTTCATAATTGTTTTTCATGCACTAGTGTTTCTCTGGAAACCCTGGTGGCATAGTGGTTAAGAGCTATGGCTGCTAACCAAAAGGCTGGCAGTTCAAATCCACCAGGCGCTCCTTAGAAACTCTATCGGGCAGGTCTACTCTGTCCTGTAGGGTCACTGTGAGTGGAATCGACTTGATGGCAGTGGGTGTGGTTTGGTTTGGTTTTAGTGTTTCTCTCAACCCACGGGCACATACCAGTGTTACCTCAGCAGCAGAGACTCTGGGCTGTGCCGGGCTGGTGAAAGGCGGCTGAGGACACAAGCACCTGGGAACCAGGACAGGACCCACTGGGCCAGGGCACTGGCCTCCAGGGTCACAACCATAAGTGGTCATTTGGGATCAGCTGCCAAGCTCTCTTGGGTAGGTCCAGGATGGGCCTGCCCAACACGAATTCTTCTCATTTCCAAGTACTATCCAGTGTGCAACAGCCAGACATCAAAGCACATGGTGTCAGCTATGCAAAGAATTTGGCCCTCACTGCCTCTGGGCCCTGGCTGTGGAGACCCAGCGCTACTTGCTTAGGTTGAGATCCGATCACAGCAGGAACCTGGGTCTCATTTTCCCCTTCACAGCCTTCTCATGACTGGGCTACAAGCAGAGCGTCTTTAAGTGTAAATCATATCTCTTATTGAGGGGCATCTCTCAGGCTGAGAGGGTGCTCAAAATTAAAGCAATAAATTGCTTTGGCTATGAGTGTGAGGGGAGCAGAAATGCTGTGTGTGAGAACAGATGTAGTCATTATTTACCTGAAATACTGCTCTCAGGCCCAGTTGGGATCTGTGACAATTAAAACCATCATTTCCCCACCCTACCACCCCTTTCCAGCAAGCCCTCAGAGAGAGCTTTCTACAGGCAGTCCCCGGGTTATGAACATCTGACTTACATACAATCCGAAGTTATGAACCAGCTCCCTTAAAACTTACTAAAAATTTGAGGTACATACAATGGTTTGTGATAACAAACAGGCACTACTTTGCGACGTGCATCAAAACATTATTATTATTCCTGTATTATTATGTTAAAGATGTTTTGGTGTATCTGGAAGTGTTTCTTTAATGCTTTTTATGCATAGAAAGGAACATTATATACTGTATACTAAGAAAAACATTTGACTAACTGACGTTAGATACAAACCGTACCTAACTGTTCAAATTTACATACAAATTCAACTTAAAGACAGATTTAGGAATGGAAGCCTTTCATAATCTGAGGACTGCCTGTACTTCTCATGGAGTGTTTGTCAAAGCCCTCTACCTATCTACAACTGTCTCACTTTCCTGGAGGAATCACCTGGGGATTCTGATTCAGGAGGTCTGGGAGGGCCTGAGACTGCATTTCTAACAAGCTCTCAGGTAATGTCTCTGCTTTGGTCCACGGACCACACTTTGAGTAGCCAGGGCAGAGAGTCTGGTGGTTTCTAATTGTGTGTTCTAGACATAGACAGCTGGTGGGAACCTGGGCTTTGAACATGGGAAAAAAAACAAAAAATACAAAAAAAACCCCAAACCCATTGCCATCAAGTTGATTCTAATTCATGGTGACCCTATGTGTTACAGAGCAGAACTGCTGCATAGGGTTTTCTTGGCTGTAATCTTTATGTAAGTAGATCGCCAGGACTTTCTTCTGTGGCAGGGCTGGGTGGGTTCGAACCACCAACCTTTAGATTAGCAGTTGAGCGCAAACCGTTTGCGCCACTCAGGGGCCCTTTTGAACACGGTAGGCTCTCAAAAAATAACACACCACCTTGCCTCTGACTGTTCTGGGCCTCCCACCCATCCCCTGAAGCTGCCTTTCCCCTGGGCTTTGACATCAAGGAGGCAGGGAGCTGTCCTCAGCCATGAGACCTGCTCCTCTAAGAACTCGTGGGCCTGCTTCTGTGTGTGAAGGACAGAAACTGGACTTTTTGCTGTATCACCTAGTCAACATGCTTGGCTGTCCTGGCAGCCGTTGGTCATGTCTTCTGGAATGCCCAGGTCAGATGCGTACAAGTGGTGGGGCTGCTGGCTCCAGGGAAAAGGCTGTAAGGAGAAGCTCATGAGAACCCCCCCGCCACCCAGTACTGCATCTTACCTGCCGCTGGGGAAAGGTGGGAACGCGACGGACTTTAGCTTCTTGTCCTCCGCTGCCGACAAGCAGTTTTTGATGGTCTCTTCAAGCTGTTCTTCACATTTGTCAGAGCCCCACTGAGGGATGTGACAGTGGATGACAAATTTGGCAGCTAGGCCAGTGGGTTGGCTGACGGCAGCTAGGGTGTGAGAGGGAAAAGCTGCAGGTTATTTTCTAAATCTTCACCCTTAAGCCGGGGGTGAGGCCAAACGTCACATCTCCCTTTTTGATCTGTGGGGGACAGGAAGTGATAGAGAAGCTGGCTGGACAATA